CCTTAAAATTTATTTTGTACGCCTAATTATATATAATTTGATAACAACTACTAAATAATTTTAATTTTTTATGTTGGTCAAAAGTTAAGGCTCACTGCTTTATATTTAAATTTTAAGTAATATATTGATGATTTTCTTTAATAATTTTTATTTTATTTTCATCTGCATTTATTATTTCTAATTTTTTTTGTTTTTATTTGAAATAGTACTAAAAAAAACACAAATAAATTAAATAATAAAAAAGTTACAAAATAAGTGAAGAAATACAGCATAAAACTCCAAAATCACGATCAAGAATCTCTGAAAAAACACGTTATGAATCAATTTTTCTTCGAAACCAAGGACTATCTCATCGCCAGATAGCAAATGAGTTAAATATCGCATATTCGATTGTTGCACGTATTTTAAAACGTTTTAGTGAAACAGGTAACATTAAGGACAGACGCCTATCTGGTCGGCCAGCTGTAACAACACAAAGAGATGAACGTTTTTTAATTCGTTTAATGAAACATGACAGAAAGTTATTGTCAAACACTCTCTGCCATAAATTAAACAATACATCTGGAATAAAAGTGAGTTCAAGAACTGTTAGAAGAATTCTTCATAGAAATAATTATATGTGGCGATCTGCATGCAAGAAGCCAAGACTTTTAAAAAAACAACAAAAAGCAAGGGTTGTCTGGTGCAATCAGCATAAAAATTGGCCTGATTGCAAGTGGCAAAATGTTATATTCTCCGATGAAATGTATGTGGAGGTAGATATGCGAAAATGCCATGTTATGCTCCGGCGATCACCTCAAGAGAGATTTGATTCAAATTGTACATTAAAACGAACTAAGCAAGGTAGTGGCAGTATTGGCATTTGGGCTTGCATGAATTATGCAGGACTTGGATGCTATCAATTATTTGAAGGTCGACTTAATGCTGATAGATATATTGAAATTTTAGATAATTGTCTTCTTCCCTCAATTGATATATTTAAAGAAGAAAACAGGAATATCATATATCAACAAGATGGTGTGTCATACCATACAGCAAAAATATCCAAACGATGGTTTGTAGAAAACCAAATATCAATAATGTCTTGGCCTGCTAACAGCCCTGACTTGAATTGTATAGTAAATTTATGGTCTTGTTACATCATCATCTTGGAAAAATTCAAATTTTAAATGTCGAACAATTAAAAACTGAAATAAGAAAACTGCTTGACAATGTGCCTAAAGAAATAACTCAAAATCTTGTAAGCTCAATGCCAAAGAGAGTAAATCAATGCTTACATGAGAAAGGAGGTTCTGAAAATATTAGAATGCTTTTTTTTTGGTTTTGCTCTTGTAAATTGTTGTTCTTATATTTTATTTAGAACATATCCTTAACTTTTGGCCAATTTTTTTTTTGAAAAAAAACAACCTGTTTCATTATTTTCTATTTTTTAGTATCAAGACTGTTATGTTTATATTTAGCTTTTTGGATTTCCATAATGTATATAGATTTTACTTATAATATTAAAAAATAAAAAATAATTTTTATTTTCAATTAATTTTGTTTTAAAATTATGTTTTATAAAAAAAAAAAAGTGAGCTCTAATTTATGGCCAATGGTGTATATATATATATATATATATATATATATATATATATATATATAGTCTTGCATGTCTCTTGCGTAGCATCAAAAAATATTTCCCATAAACTGTAGTTTTAAAGAGCGCGTTAATAAACCAGACCAGAAAAAGTTTTAAATATTAAATTTTTTTTTTTAATTGATAGACTGCCTGGCCAAACCAAACCCTCAGTCGATGTAGCAGCACTCTCTTGCGAGTCAGGCTATTTGTCAGTCGTTGTAGCAGCACTCCCTTGCGAGTCAGGCTATTTGTCAGTCGATGTAGCAGCATTCCCTTGCGAGTCAGGCTATTTGTCAGTCGATGTAGCAGCACTCTGTTGCGAGTCAGGCTATTTGTCAGTCGATGTAGCAGCACTCCGTTGCGAGTCAGGCTATTTGTCAGTCGATGTAGCAGCACTCCGTTGCGAGTCAGGCTATAAGATAGTCGATGTAGCAACATTTACGCATGTTTAAAAAATGTTTTTTATTAAATCAATAACAAAAACACCACTAATTAAAAAAAACTTTCTAGTCGTTATAATTGCGGTTTTTTAAAAATTTTTTAAAAAACAATTAAATTTAATGTACTTCCGCATAAATTAATTGCTTTGACATTTCGATGACAATCAAAAACAGCTTAAGAGACGAGGTAATTAAAATTGTAGCCGTAAGAGACTTTTTTTACATTAAAATGCTCTTAAAGCGACACTATATGAGTATATATATATATATATATATATATATATATATATATATATATATATATATATCAATATATATATATATATATATATATATATATATATATATATATATATATATATATATATATATATATATATATATATATATATATATATATATATATATATATATATATATATATATATATATATATATATATATATATATATACAGTGCTTGAAGAGGAGAAAAAAAAGAAACAGGTTAGTATTCGGTAAATTAGAAATACAATCCCGCCTAATAATTGTTATATATATATGTTATATATATATATGTTATATATATATGTTATATAAATATATATATATATACATATATATATATATATATATATATATATATATATATATATATATATATATATATATATATATATATATATATATATATATATATATATATATATATATAAACGTACCTTTTATTAAGTTGTATAGCTTGGTTAGACTAAAAAGATCCTTTGCCTTTTCCAGCTGCCATATTAGATTTGGCCATGAGTGAATTTGTCATAAAACTAAAAATAATATATTTTAATAATATTATATCTTATAATTTATGAAATTATAATTAACTACTGTATTTAAAATTTTTTTTTTTTTTTTCATAAAATCTAAATGTAATTAAACATTTAGATTTTATTTTAGTGATACAGTTAATCTATTAATTAAATCTAATCTATCATTTAAAAAATAGAACACTAACCTAATAATGTAGTCCAGATCATAAGTGTACACTAACCATTAGTGTAGTCATATATATGAATATTATCTGGGTTAAAAGAATTATCTGGACTAAAGTTTAAAGCTATAGGATAACCTATAGCTTTAAACTTGCAAACTGGAAAAAGTGTAAATTGGCATTAGTGCGCCAAACAGGTTAGCAAACATTACGAATAAGCATAAGTGCAAAATTTGATTAAGTACAAAACAGTTACAAACACTGGCAGAAGTGCGAACTGACATGAGTGCGTGTAATAAATTTGCAAACATTGGCCTAAGTGCTAATTGGCATTTCGCCCTTATGCTAGTTTGCAGTTATGCCAGTTTGGAATTATGCTAAATTTTGCAAATTTATTTGGCACACTTATGCCAGTTCGCATTTATGTTGTTTGCACTTTTGCGAGTTTTTGCAACTGCTTCACACTTATACCATTTCCCACTTATGGCAATTCAAACTTATGCGAATGTTTGTAAATCTATTTAGCGCACTTATGCTAATTTACAAATATGCCAGTTTGCACTTATAGCACTTTGCACTTATGCCAATGTTTGGAATTGTTTTTGTGCAGTTATGCCCATTTGCACTTATGCCATTTAGCATTGTGCCAGTTTTTGTAACTGCTTCGCACATGTGCTAGTTTGCGCGTATGAAATTCACGATTATTCAGTCATCCCATTATGGAAAAACGGCTAACGTAGAGCCATGCATGGGATTTGTATTATGGATTGTAAGATGGGAGTAATATTATTATAAAATTAAACAGAGTATTTATAGGAATGCAATTTTAATTTACAACCTCTTCATCATAGCTATCACAAGTTTTTGACAGTTCTTACCACCAATATTTTGAACTCTTTGTTTTTAATAGAAAGAAATAATGGAAATCTGACAATTCCTAATTTAGTAGTAAAAATTATATATTGTAAAGAAAATTAAAAAAAAAAGAAAAATACTGTCAAATCAGTATTTAGCAATTTACAACTGCAGAGATACTACAGAGTTACTAGATGAAACATTGTCAAGTGCTGAGTCAAACTTATCAAATTCTATTATGCTGTTCATTTCAGTTACTACTTCTTCTTCACACTATTTTATATAAAGTTTTTTGCATCCTTGGGTTTTTATCTCATTTAAGAGAAGCAACACACAGTATTGAAAGTCTAAACAAATTTACACTAATTAAATTTTACATAGTCTTAACTAAACTACGTAAATAAATAAATTTAAAATACATAAATTTAACAATTTAACCACTTTACTGGTATAACCCTAAATCAGAGAAAAACTAATAGACAGTAAAATACCTAATAGTGGCAATGCTATATTATATATATTAGGGTTTTTCTCAGATTTCGGGTTAGACAAGAAAGATTGTTCCATAGATTTATAGTTTTGATAATATTGAAATAATGGATTTCATAAAGGTGATTATTTAAAGTTAAAATTGGAACCTCATCATTTTAATGATGTTTTTTTATATTGACAGTCATGTTAGCATTTTACAACAAACATTACAATATTATTTTAAACTAAAGACTTACTTGCTTGAGATAATGGAAATGCATGTTTATCCTTTTTATTTAAAGATGATGAAGATTGATGTGTCTTAAAATGAATCTCTTGGTCATCACAATCAATATCATCTTTGTTTATCATTTTTTGACCTACACAACACAAACATAGAGAATATTTGAATTTCATCTAACAACTTGTCTTCTCATGTAGCAATTTTACAATTTAAAAATTTTTACAAATTACTTTACATATTAATAACTTTATAAGTAAAATAGGGTATATAGTATGGTATATAAAATTATAGGTTTCATACTGCTAAATATTTGGCAATAACACCAGAATATCATTTTAAAATGACATTTTGAAGTCACTGCCTTTCTTGAAACAAATCATCATATTTTTTCCTTTCAGCCTTTTTAACTATAGTAATTCCTTTATAAAAACCACTGATATTATCATTTTTAATTTTTAGAGTTAAAGAAGAAAAACTCTGAGAATGTTGTTCTCTTTTTTCAAATCCTAATAATTTTTTTTTGCGTTAAAAGCAGTTGATAATTAAGTAGAATTAAAAATTTAATCTAGTTTTTTTAAGCATTCAAGTTTACTAAACAATTAAGTTATTTAATAAAGTAAAATAATCTAGTTAACCACACCATTAAAACTTTATTAATCATATCTACTTGATTCAAGTAGAAATACAAACACAACCTAGTTTCAACAAAGGCATACAACTTTAAACTAAAAATACTCCAATATATTTTCAAATTTAATTCTACAAGAAAACAATACAAACACTTGGTTGATTTAAATATATACTAATTTATATAATTTTTACTTAAATAAATCAATTCGCCTAAATCCGAAGGTCACGCCATTATTTGCGTAAACATACTCTTTTAGATATTGCCGTGCTGTATGTTTAAAAAAAGTTTTTTTATCACGTTAAAAAAATGTTTTAAAAACGTTCATAAGCTAACTGAGAAATTTCGTAAGTTAATAAAAAAAATTAAACGTTTAAAAAACGCTAAAAAAACGTTTAAATTAACATTTAAAAAAACATTTGCAAAAAAACGTTTTAAAAACGATTGTATTGGTTCTTTTAACGTCCGACCGTAAATTGAACGGAATTAAAACGTTTTTAAAACGTCCTGTGCTTACTGGGTTTGGTTCTACAGTAAAAGGTAAATAAAAGATTATTATAAAATTTAAAGTTATTTGTATAAAATTTGACTGAACTAAATTTAACTGCATTCAACTAAATTAGAATTACCACTTCTATTTAATATTTAGATAATGATAAATATTAGTCCTGAGGATCTAGTGGATTGTACTTCTGTGGTATTTGCTCGGTATAGGATTGGAATCCGACCTCAAACCGCGATCATTGCAGCAATATGCAATAAAGCAGGTAAATCTTGAAAATGTCTAAAAGCTCCGTTCATCGAAAGAGATTCAAGATGATTGAAGATCTAGGTAAAAAAAACTAATTGAAATAAATAATAGGATTAATAAAAAATTAATTAAATTGGTAATAAAGCTATTTTAAATTTTAGGAGACCAGATAAGGCAAGATATAATGGAAACATTGAAGGGAAAAAGACTTGTCCTGCACTTCGACAGCAAAAAAATAAAAGAGATGGAGGAGAATCTGAATATTACTGTTACTGTTGAAAGGATTTCTGTTAGTGTTACATCAACAGATATTGACGACACAAGTGAAATCCTCCTTGGAGTTGTTCAAGCTCAAAGTTCCAAGAGAGTTGATGAGGCAGATGTAATCTTAAATCTCCTAGAATATTACAAAATTGTAAATCAGATCTTCGCCATATGCTGTGAGACTACTGCTTCCAACACTGGAATATTTGCTGAAGCCATAACCATCCTCACAAACATCCTCAACATTCCGTTTCTCTGGTTTCTCTGCAGACGACACATGCTTGAGATACAAATCTCATATTTTATGGAGGCTCTTACTGGTGAAAAAACAAAGGGGCTCAGGAGAGCAGTATATTTAAGACTTCAGAAAACCTGGCCAAGCATCAAAGAGGAAGTGAACAATATGAAAGAGGTAATTAGGTTTGATTGGAATGAGCTACAGGTTGGATCATTCTTGTACAAAATAGCAAAGGAGGCCTTAGAGTTTTGCAAAAAGGCACTGACCACAAAGACATTTAAAAGAGGCGACTACAAGAAGCTCTGTGAACTAGTTGTATTCTATTTAGGAGGAAATGTACTTAGGTTTTGTTTTTATCAACCTGGAGCCTGCCACAAAGCCAGGTTTGGTTAAAGTATATTATCAATAATTTGAATTTGTATTATTAGAAGAGAGTACATTTTCAATATTTTTCTATATAACTAATAATAATAATAATTTATTATAAAGGTTCATGGCAGATGATTTACAGCTATCACCTTTACAAGAGCAAAAATAGTTTTTTTGCTTTTTTTAGCCTATTTGGACCTTAGAGAATGGGAAAACATTGAGAGGCATTTTTTTTTTTTTTTTTTTTGGTTCACTGTAATAAACACATCCAATTATAGTATTTTTGTTTTTGTTATCAGTTATTTCAATAAAAAGACTTTTATAGTTTTCATTTACTAAGCATAATAGTTTTTTTATCTTAAATATATATTTTTCAAGTATGTAAAATCCTAGTCCTTCACCTTTTTTATGATATTCTTGTGGTTGGTAATTTGGCAAACTATAATAAGAGTTTGATTCAATCGGACTATCTGTTTCATGCCAAGTCTCTGATTTTACTTCTATGCCATTGCAATTTTACTTCTATGCCATTGACGAATGACAAAAAAAAAAAAATTATTATAATAAGTAATTAAATGGACTGATTTTTGTTTAAGTTTTTATGAACAAGTTGGTATGCTAAAATTTTTATCTATTTTATCCTAATGGACACGGACGTAAAAAAGACGTTTTTTAAATGTCATGTAAACATTTTGGATGACTTTTGAACGTTTAAAAGACGTCTTTTTCAGGTCCGGTGCCCACTGGGATCAATTGCCATAACGTGAAATACTCTTTTTTAACAAATGAATAATGTAAAAGTTATTGAAAAAATATCTACTAATGTTTATTAAAAAATTGCGACCACGCTGTATAACGCTAATAGTTTCGCCAAATTACAACAACAAAATAATTTATAAACTTTAGATATGTATACTTTTATAAATATTATTTATATTTTACTCTATACTTTTAAAACGTTTAAAAATATAGACTCATCTACTTTTACACGTTTTAAGGTTTTAAGCGAATAAAAGTTTAAAACGGTTAAAAGTTAAAAACTTACTCGATAGTCCTAGAAAAACAACCGCTCTGACAAAATTAAAATTTTTTCAAAATTTTTTTTTTTAATAGTCAATGATAGCTACGTCCAAAACTTTTCTGGAGGTAGCTATCATTGGCTTCCACCTCTCTATTGGCGTTGGCCTTCAAAACATTTTTCTTCCAGAAAAAAACTCTGACTTAAGCCGCCAATGAAAAGGCGAAAGCTGCTGGAGGCGGAATATAGAAAATTTTGCCGCTAAAAATTAATTGAGAGGCAGCCGCCGTCTGCTGCGAAAGAAAAGTGGAGAGGAGAATATTTACGCTGTTTATCAATACTGGTTAAACTTACTGCGTATTAATTTTGCGGCCAAATTTAAACCTGCATTGACAATTACCTCATTAATTGTTTTAGCAAATATATATTTTTTGTAATATCTCGATGATGATAATTTTATTTTTTTGAAAGACTATTTAGCTTTTGAAAGACTATTTAGCGATTTTTTTTTTCCCAATTACTTAATGACTTGCCACGTTTTTTGAGTGTTGCTTTTGAGTATTGTTTTGATCAATTAAGGTTGCGCTATTTCTAGTAATTCGTGTTGGTTTATTTATTGTTTGTTTTTAACTTTTTTTTTTTGAGTCCACAAAAAAGACACGCCTGTCATATAAAAATTTGCCTTTAATTAAATTTTTGAAATTTTTTTCAAAAAACTTGTTATTGCCAGATGGCGGTCTGTACAATGACGTTTTTAGTGATTTTATTTATGACTTTAATTGTTAATGAATCACAATTATTATAAATTACACTAAATTCGGTTAGCAGCTTAAAATAAAAAGTTGTAGATAAAATAACATACTCCTCCACCTATCGTCTCAGAATTTCTGGCTTGATGAATAACTTTATAGTTTTGTAGTTGAAAGTTTGAGTCTTTTTCAACTTGTTTATCTCAACACTAAGTCTCCGTGAGACAAATAATTTGAAAATTAATTTCATCACTAAATTAAAATCTTTAAGTTTATCAAAATATTTTTGAAAGCTTTTAATATTTAGATGTAAAATAGAGAATGTATTAATATCTATATCAGCAGTAAGGTTAGAAATATCAGAATTTTAATAAGAAGGGCATATGTTGCTAATTATTTAATCAGTGTTAAAAAAATTAACATCCGGATCAAAAAAAAGTTAACATCCGGATCAAAAAATAATAACATCCGGATCAAAAAAAATTAACATCTGGATAAAAAAAAATTAACATTTGAATAAAAAAAAATTAACATCTGGATCTGAATGATTCTCTAAAAGTACATTCTTGTTTGTTTTGAAAGCTGTAAAACTTAATTTGCGAAAGTTCATATCTTCCATAACAACAAAAAAATATTTAAAGTACAAAATGATTAAAGATTTGTAGGTAATTTCCTAAATCTACTACTAATTTTTTTACTTTTGCTATTAGTTTATCGTAAATTACACCAAAAACATACCATTTTTTCTATGCATCTTCATTTGCTCGAATTTTACTTTTTTCCTGATAGATGCAGTTTCCAATAAATAATCCTCATTGATATTCCCGATCCTTTTAGTTTACTCGCGCTTTTTAAAAATTGTACTTTATCTTTGTAATTTAACAGTTTCATTACTATTGATGGTGGCCTGCCTGTTAATTAGTTTATAATAACTTATTGTAAGTTTTTCTACAGAATTAAAGTTTTTATCATTATTACTAAACCGTTTTCTTTTTTCTTTTTGTTGTTGTTGTTGTTGTTGTTGTTGTTGTTGTTGTTGTTGTTGTTGTTGTTGTTGTTGTTGTTGTTGTTGTTGTCATTGTTGCTATAACTGCAATTAAAAACGCCAATTGAAAACCGAATCGACATCAACGGGGAACTAAAACCACCATAATATAAAGATTGATTAATTACATTTTTAAATTTCACAACGTCATACCGATTATATAAGACATTACCAGGGATGTGAAGTCGGAGTCTGGAGTTATACCAGGGATGTGAAGTCGGAGTCTGGAGTTATACCAGGGATGTGAAGTCGGAGTCTGGAGTCCCTATTTTTACTCTGAATCCTGAGTCTTGCCCGTCATAATAATTTTTGGGACTCCAAAACTCCGGGATTTTTTTAATTTTATTTTTTGAAGAAACACTTATTAACTTCTATATGTTTAATAATTTAAATTTTTTTTAGCCAACAGTTGTGTAACTTTAAACCAGTAAAAACATTAACGCATTGAATAATGCTGCGTATTGTTAACCCTCTGGCACATAAATTATTCAATAATCTGTAGCCTGTTTATTCCATACAATGCCTAAAGCAGACATTGCTTTTAAAGAATATAAAAGGCGAATCAAGGCATATGCGTTACACAAAACCTTTGGTGTACACTGATTACTAGTTGTCGAATTATGCTTAGGATAATGGCTGTCATTATTCCAGTTTGTCCGTAGGAGAATACAATGAGAATTTTAATCTTAGTTAGTTTATTGATTTATTTTTCTTAAAAAAAAACACCCGGTAGAACGTTCGCTTAGGCACAAATGTTTACAAAAGGTTTGACGACTCTATTAATGCCAAAGTAAAAGAAAGCATTTTTTTTTTAAGTTTTTCTAATGATATCTAATGATATCTAATGATTTTCTAATGATATTTAAACTAATAGATATGGTTTTACTGATAAAATAGTTTTGAAAGTCTTTTTAAAAACAGTTAGATAGTATCATTTTACAAGTGTAGCAATGAAGTCTATTAAATATGTCTTAGCACGTCGTCATTATAAGACTCGAATATTTTTCGAGTCGCTACAATTTATCATTTGAATTAAATGAAAACGCATAACGACATTTTGTATAAATACCCTTTTAGTTTACAAGTTTTATTATAATAAAGATTTTAATAACATTTTTTTGTGGGTTAACTAATTATGTTATTTTGGGAAGGCTATAAAATAAAACTTAAAATAAAAATATTTCACGACTTATTTCTGCACCGATGTGCGCAGTATTAAGTCGAGCGCGATAAAAGAACTTGAAATTTTTTGCTTACCAATCGAACGCTGTACTTCTACACCACTACCGATTTTCAGAGATTTTTTGGACTCGTGTGTGTTTTAGGGATTTTTCGGACACTTGTGTGACACATATACACTTGAAGTTAACAATTTTTTGTATTAAAAAATATTTATTTTAAATATACAAATAGTTAATTTTTGAGCAAAGAAATGAAATCAAACATAAATTAACATAAATTATAACTTTTTTACAGCATATTGAAAATATTATATAGTCTACTCTGGCATTTTAGCGACTATTTCGTACTCTGTTAAATTGACGTATAAAAGTTAATAAAACAAAAAATGTTCAAAGTCCGAAAAATCCCTAAAAATTGATAGCACTTTGCACCCCTGGATATTACACGCATTTTGTGATTTGCAAATCACCCATTTGTGACAACCACCAAAAAGGTTGTTTTCACAAGATAAAAAGCTTTCATGTTGATAAAACACCAACTGGGGTTACAAACAACAGATTTATCAGACCACTTTGGTAATAATATAATATATATAATATATATTAGATATTTTATAGTTTTTATATAAATTATAAATGTATAAGATTTTAAATTAACAAGACTTATAAAAGAAAAGATTACTTGATAACTCAACGTGCAGCCTATCTTCCAAATGATATATTAATTAATTTCTTCATAGAGAAAAAAAATTTATTAGAGCAATGGTATTCCAAAGTTTAAAATCTTGCAACAGAAGAACTATAATTACAAATTCGTCGTAATTTGAAGTTGCTGCCATATTTTGTTTTGTTGTTACTCATCATCGCATAAGGTTTGTGAGAATTTTGGTCGAAAAAAGTGCAAAAAAAAAGTACAAAACTGACATTGTAAAGTGGTGTATTGCAAAACCATTCCGCCAAAATTAGTTGTGTGCAGCTCATGTAATAGGCATCAAGGCATGACAGAGAAAAACCAGAGGACCACCGAGTCTATAATAGGATTGAAGGCCATTGAGTTTATTATGGAGTTTAAGAAGTTGCAGAAAAGTTGTTAAAAGGATGAGTTTTATCTATGGGCCACTAAGTGTGTCGCAACGTCACTGCTCTTGGTATTTTTAACTTCGAAAACTAAACACTGGAAAGTTTTTATATTTTCTAATTTTTAAACGCGTAAGTATTAGAAAAGCACTTATACACATGGGTTTGTATGTAATTTTAAAAATAGTCCGAATATGAACAAACAAACAAAAAACAAAAAAAAATTTAAAAGTATAGCATAAAATTTGTTTTTTTTTATTCTAACGCTATATCCAAACAAGATGAAAGATTTGACAAACTTTTAGAAGGTTAAAAGGATTTATTTTTTTTATTTTATTAATTTTATATATTTAAAATCTCTATTACAGTAAAGGCTCTCCTTTTAAACTACTTATAGCATCAAACCCTCCCATCTTTTCAATGAACTGTTCGAGCACGTTTAATAAGTGTTTTATGTTTGTCTCATTATTGATGCAGTTCTGCAATCTTGCATTTTTTATTATGACGTAAGCATTTCCACTTGACGCAATAAAGATATAAGCCCTAAAAATAAATTTTTCAAATAAAACATATATGAATAAATACAATAACATGTGTGATTAAATACAATAACAAAAAAAAAGGTTGTCAAGTAAGGGCAATCAAGGATGCGGAGGCGGATCTTGTACTCGAATTATGCTTAATGCAAACTCAATATAATATTTATTAATGTATTATATAATTATGTTAAAAATTGCAACAATTAGATTATGGTATTAAAAAATCCGCAAAAACTAGATCTCAATCACGTAGATTGTGCGTTAAAATCTTTTCACTCCCGAGCTCTATCTATTGCGATTATTGGTAAAACACAATTATTGGAGATAATTAATACAAGTTTCTTAAACACAGAAAAACAAATATGCCAATGTGTTAAAACCTATATTCAATAAATAAACAAAGTACATCCATAAAAATCATAACAAAAAATCTAACAAAATATTTATTGAAATTTATAAGTTAACAAAAAGCCTAGCATTGTTCAACGTATTTCTAGGCCACTTTATTTTAAATCTTTTTTCTGCCTTAAATTATATATTATTAAACATCAGTATGGTATTGATCTTGTAGTTAAAAAATGGTCTGCCTTTACAGAACCTCAGAATGCAAGATGTTTTTCAAGAAAAACATTCTGAGGTTAAAAAGTTGATCAAACACTAATTTGTTACTGTTAATAGTTGAAAAAATATTTCTGTTTGATTTGATTGTTAAAGAAGCTTAATTTTTTTTGGATACAATTTTCATCTGGCTTCGAATTTAGAATAGACTTTTTATTAGAAAATTTAATCAGATAAATATTTAGAATAGAATTTTTATTATTTACCTTAAAATGTCAAGGTAAATAATAAGTAGTTATGTCGCCAATACTGTTTAGATTAATTCTTTTACTTAAATATACTTTTAAATGTTTGTTTGACTTATCCTTTTTATTTTATATATTCTATCAAAGGTTAGTTTTAGAACCTTCACTATGCAAGGTAAACGAGACATGGTTAATGAAAAAATTTTTAAAATTGTAAAGCAAACTGTCTATAATTTCTTCTTGACGTTTCAAGATGGATAATCTGCTTACAGTATTGGAAAAAACAAGTGCAACCAAATAATGCTAATTTAGTTTCTTTATACAAAAGTGCTGCATTTTTTTTAATTTAGAGAAATATTTATGTAACGTTGAGAGACAGCGTTCTTCAAGTTTTATTCATCGCAAAGTTCATTATTTGTACACGAAAATTAATAAATTAATCAAATATTAAAAAAAAGTTGATTTTCTTCTGGACAAAACAAGTGCAACTTCGCAAAATGTTGACCAAGCTGTATTTCGCTATCAATATTTCGTGGCGAATCTTTTGTTGTCAATCACAGCCTTGCATCTTCGAGGCATAGATTCGATCAGGTGATCAATGAAACTTTGTGGAATCGCTGCCCAGACCTTTTGGATTTGTTCAAACAGTTAATCTTTATTACGAACACCTTCACGATTAATTCTGTAATTGACGATCTCCCATTGGTTCTCGATTAGGTTGAGATCCGGATATTGAGGCGACCAATCCATCACCAATAGGTGGTTGTCTTGAAACCACTACTTGACTTACTTTGGAGTTTGTTTCGGATCGTTGTCTTGATAAAAAACCCATTTTATTGGCATATTCCATTTAGCATAAGGTATCATAACATCTTTCAGGATATTTTTATATATGAAACAGTCCATTATTCCATCGATTCGATGTATTGGACCTAGACGGTTAGCAGAAAATCAGCCCCAGACCATTACATTGCCTCCACCATGCTTCACGGTCTTATGGCAGTAACGTAAATCGAGGCGTTTTCCGGCCGGTCGATGTACACGGCAAATGCCATCGCTCCCAATGATGTTGAACTTCGATTCATCACTGAACAGGACAGTTTGCCATTTCTGCACATTTCAGTCAATATAAGATGCAGCAAACAGGAGTCTTTTCTTCTGGTTCTTTAGTGAAATCAGCGGTTTCTTTGCAGGGCGTCGAGAAAACAATCCGGCTTCAACAACACCTCGTTTGATTGTTCGGTCCGATACAGGCAGCTCTAATTGCTTTTGTATCTCGACTGATGATATCCAGGGATCCTTCTTGACGGATCTGACAATCATAGAATCCTCTCTAGAAGTGGTGGAACGCGGTCTTCCACCTTTGTTATCTGCTGCCAATTTCCCCGTTGAACAAATTTAGAACATAGTCTTGACGCGGTCCATTTTTTCACACAATATTTATCACAAATATTTTTTTGTGACATTCCACTTACGTAATCGCCAATAATTTTCTTTCTTAGTTCTAATCCAAGTCGGGAGCCATTTTTGCACTTGAAGTCATAAAAATAACAAAAATAAATAATCACGCTTCTCAAGGCTTACCATTTTACATTTACCTTGTGATGATACAATAATGCTCTGTGGAACACAACGTCTTGGTTGGATGTGGACTGTATTGATGTAATGAAACACTTGTTGTATTTCACTTCTTTTATTGATGTTCTTCGATAAAACACTTTGATAAAACTCACTTCGATAAACTGTCTTGATAATACTGACTCATTGACTTCCATATACTGACTAAATTACATGTCGGTTTACATGTCTCTTATATAGTAAAATGAACCTGTGTGAACCTGTTCTGGAAGATTGTAGATGCTTCTTTTTGATGCTTCTGGAAGCTTCTGGATGCGTCTGGATGCTTCTGAATGTTTCTAGATACTTCTGGATGCTTCCAGATGGTTCTTCTGGAAACTTCTGGAAGCTTCTGCATGCTTCTGGAAACTTCTGGATACTTCCTTTAATTATTAAAAAACTTCCGTGATGTTTAAACGGACTAGACTTAAGAAAATGAAACAAACCAAAAAAGTTGCACTTGTTTTGTCCGCTGCAAAATGGCACTTGTCAACGAAATTCTGCCTGTGTGCTGTCACCTGTCAGCTGATTCCTCATGTCATAACATGCTATGACTCCAGACTCCTGAACTGTTTGCTGTGGTAGAACAGTTCGTTTCGTTTTTAAGACATGTAAATTTAGGAAAACTTTTTCGCATTGCTCGATGTTGGTTGCAAATGTTTTGCCCAATACTGTATAACTTCAATATAACCCTTTTTTTAATGTTTTGGAGATCTATTATAGGTTTCTAGTCTATTGTATAATTGAGAAAGAGTTGGATAGTAGATTGATTGACTTGCATTGTATTGTGTTGTATTTAACTAATTTTATTGAATTAACAACAAACAAAAAGGTCAAGTAAGTTGAATAAAAAAATAAAATAAAAGGAAATAAAGAAATAGGCTTTTTTGAAATTATTCAATATTAAATAAAGTTTTAAAATAAAGTTTGTGTTTTCTTTAATATTTCTTTAAAGTAAAAATTAAATAAGAAATGGGAAAGCCTTCCAATGTTAGAGTAAAACCAACCAGCAAATCAAGAATTAAGATGCAATGTTTTAAGAGATATCATAGACACTAGGTATATGATAAATTTTAAATCAATTAGCCTGGGGTTCTAAATGATGAACTTTTGCTTATAAATCACAGAAATGACATTGATTTCACCATACCTTGAAAAAACTTCCCGCACCTAAGGCAGTTTCATATTTAACCATACAACACATAGCAGCCCAAAGGCTATTAATTATAATATGTCAACTTTATATACAATACACATGAGAAATACATGAGAAATACACTGTTCTACAGCATTTGTAGTGATGTTAATAATCTTTCAGATTTGTGTATTAGTATTAATAAATTTACAGTTAAGATATTAATTTGTTCTGCAAGAAGAACGAATGTCCCCCATCAACTTTACAGCTCTCTCGGCTACTATGTTGGTTCGAAGCACTTCAAGCACTGATGGTTCCTTCTTCCAGTGGGTAGAGAAGCATTTCACAGCTTTGGAATACTTAAGTTGGGATATTGCTGACAGCAGGTCTTCATAAGCTACCTCTGCATAGTGCTGGTTTGAAAACCAGGCCCACGACCATGTAGTTGCAACGAAATCGCAAGTTATCCTCAGCTATTCTCACCAGTTTGGAAGAATGAAAAATGCAATAAGCTTAAAAATCCCTCTTGAGTTCCACCTGGCACTGTGCAGTGATGGCAGCTTGTGCCATTTGATACGAGGCCATTTTTCCTCATTTTTGTAAAACTTGTATGCTTCACAAAGCTGAAAAAGAAATTTAAAGTCATCTCTCCAGCCAAGGTTCTCATACTCTCCTACCACTGCTGTGCCCTTGTAGGCATTTTTTAAATCATCGTAATGCTCCATAATCTCATCAATAAATTTGTAGTTAATGTTAGGCGACTGTGACTGTATAGGAAAAAAGAAATCCAACACATGTCGTAGAACAAGATCAAGAATGTGGTGTTGGCAGCCAATGTATTGAGGTTCATCGAATCCCTTGTCTCGAAATGTTTTCTGAAGCTTGGCTACAACTCCATTCTTGCGACCAGTATTTACAGCTGTTGTGTCAGAGCTGATCATCTGAATACTGTTCCATGCATTGTAATCATCAAGTAGGTCCTGTAGTGGTTTATATATGCTTGCAGATGATCCACTGTCACAAACCAAAATGCCAAGTTGTAATGTTCTTTTGTCATTTTTCAAGCACACAACTTGGTACTCAGTCTTGTCAATTTTCTCTTCAGAGATCAGTTCCATGAGGCGGTTCTTAACTTGTTCTGCACCTCTAATTGTTCGACGCCAGACTCCAGACTGATGTTTTCAGACGCCAGACTGTGATGGTGTTGGGACACTAACTCCATCCTCAGCCAGACTTTGAAGCACCCGTGATGTTTTTCTGGTTGACAAAGAGTGACTAGACAATACTTTGGCAGCAGACTTAGTTGGCTGGCGTGTTGCACATTTTCTGCGAGATTCTCCTGGAACTGCCTCCGAGTCACCACTGCTGCTTCCTTTCTCAGAATCCTCACTATCGCAGGAAAGTGGTACGAAGATAACTGCTTGGTTTGTCGAGGGTTCTGATGTGCTTTTGGTCCTTTTTGATGGATGAATTGTTGACATAGGAGCCACTTTCATAGTTGTATATCCCACCCTGCCTTCTGATTCAATTTGTACTTTGTACAGTTGCTTATCCTTACTACAAAGCTAATTTCCATCTGGTTTGTTATATCGAACAGATGAGCAAGATTTTCTTTAAATACTGCATTTGGTCGCTTTCTGTGTTTCTCAAATGATGTGATAAGTTTGTAAACATTAGCAGACACTTGTTGTTTGGAAAGAACAGGAAAATTAAACTTCTGCCAAGGATTCATCAATTTCTTGGATATTTTTCTTAGTCAATCATGTCGTTCTTTCAATTCATTAAAGAGTCCCAAAAATCTTCCAATAATATCTCTGTTAGAAGGCATTTTACACAATTTGTCGCTCATATCCTGTTTTACCTGTAGTATATTAGGACGGCGCTTCGTGCTTGATTTTAAATTTTGTGTCCATATTTCACCAGCTGCTTCCACTGCTGATTTTGACTTTTTACTTTTAAAGGACATATTTTCAAAAAGAAGCACTAAACAGCAGATCTTGCAAATTAATACTGCAAATAATGAAAAAACTTCTTAAATACTCTACTCAATATTTTAATCGCCAAAAAAAACTTCTTAAATACTCTACTCAATATTTTAATCGCCAAACATTAAAAAATACTCAACAACAAACAACAATAAACAGCATTAATTTGAAAAACAGTCGTTAAAATTTGTTATTCAAAATTGAGTTACATAACATAAAAACAATTTAAAACTATCGAACTTTTTCATTCTGTGTTAATTAACTTTTTAAACTGTTTGACGCTCTCCAACTTGTAGTTATACTCAAGCATAGTCAAGCATAGTCAAGCATAAGGAAGTAAGAACTGGGAACAAAATCATGTGAAAAATCAAAAAAGTTAAAAGTGGCGAAGTGCTAGGTGCATGAGGTTTTTTTGTGATCCAATGAAATAAACCTCAAAATAGTGATCTATTGGTAAAAGTTCAAATGCAACATCAGGAAAATTAAAATTTTGAAAAAAGTTTTTTTGTCATATACCTAATAGACACGTAGTGTAAGGAGAAAAAAAACCCCGTTGTAATCAATTCAAGAGAATTTCCATTAATAAAACATCTTTTAATTAACAATTAAAATTAACTTAATAGTGTCATAAAACATAGAAAAAAGTCCAGTTTTTACCGAAGATGAAGAAGAGTTGTTAGTCTATAATGCACATGATTGAGAAATTAATTTTTTATTTCTAATTAGCTGCTCAAGTCAAAGGGAAAAAAAACAGTTTTATGAAGTTCCTGAGTATTCTTTAACATATCATGTGATCATCTTTCCAATTACATGACCAGATGACAAACTATGCTACAAGAAACCAATCACGGGACCAGATAAAAAACTTATAAATTTTAATTAATCTGAACATATTGTGTAGTGACAAAATATTATTGTTCAATGATTGACAGTTTTACAAAAACTAGGAATATCTAAAACGCTTGAAATATAATTTCATGACTTCAATTGAATAGTCTAATATTAAAAAAGTTGTTCCTTGTACATTCAAGACAAAGTTTAGGACAATACAAAACCATATATCATTAAATACACTTAACAGAAGTAAATGTAAATATTACCAGACACATATTAAGAGAGGAAAATGGACTGGGAAAGAGGGAAATGGACTGGGAATGAGGGAAATAACTGAAACGATGGTAATACTGCAATACATATTAAAAAAATAAAAAATAAATTATAAAGGTAAACAAATGAACAAACAAAAATTTAAACAAAAGTTTTTTTAACTATCTGATGTTTACAACAATAGCTTTAAGTCAAAAAGTTATGTTTGAAAACATAAATTTTCAAAAAAATTCTATTTATCTTCAAAACATTTTCAAAAACATTTTCAGAAGTTCAAAAACATTTAAAATTCGTTCAATTAAATGTCATTCAAATAAAAACATACAGCAAAGTATAAAATCAGTTAACATTATTTAAGGAAAAAAGGGGAAAGATAACAAGTTTTTTAGAAATTCTTAGTATTTGCTAACCAGTCAGTTAGGGAATACAAATAATTTATTAACATTATATCCTCTATTTTATTATATCTTCTATTTCATTATACCCTTTATTTCATTATATCCTCTACTTCATCATATTCTCTATTTCATAATCCGTGTTGGTCTATTGATTTTATACTTATTTGTTTACAAAATTATGTCTACATTTCATATTTATTTATTTTTCCTTTTTTTTTTAACTGCAACTTTTTAACTTTTTAAATTGCAAATTAGTTATGCGTATGATCTTTTATTTAAGAATTATTAGGATTACATATTTATACAAATTTAAATGTCTACTTTTAAATATCCATTTCTTCTTCATTTCTTAGTTTTACCAAAGACATACCAAATTTATAGGATCTTGTTTTATATTTTAACTAAAAAACTGTTATATTGAAATTTAAAAATGTTAATTTATTATTATATACTTTTTTTATTATTTATTTAGTTCTGCCTAGAATAAAAATATGTTTTAAATAAATATAAATGATTTAAAAATTAGTTCATTAAGTTTAACATTTGCTTTTAAAAAGGTTTTAACTATTGTGTTATTGTGATGTTATTGTAATTGTGTTGTTGCTTATTTTTTTTTTGAATGTTAAATATAATAATTATAGTTACGATTATGTTGTAATAATTTGTTGAAAACCTGATTACAATGTTGTTGTAAAAATTTGTTGAAAACCTGATTACAATGCTGTTGTAATAATTTGTTGGAAACTTGATTACAATGTTGTTGTAATAATTTGTTGGAAACTTGATTACAATGTTGTAATAATTTGTTGGAAACTTGATTACAATGTTGTTGTAAAAATAGGTGTTATCGAAATTATACAACACCTCACAAAATAAACCTTACTAATTTTAATACAGTGCTCTATGAAATAGTGTAACACTTACAATCTCTCTTATAATAATGGTGCTATAAAATTTATATGACACCTCATAAAATAAATCTTACTTATTTTAAATAAAGTACTCTAGAGTACTCTAGGAAATAGTGTAAAGCGCTAGTTGTGTAATGGTAGAGCATTTGCTTCATAAGTGAGAGGTTTTGAGTTTGATTCCCACCACATCCCAGGTAGTACCGTGCTCAACTTGTTTCTCCGTGCAGCAGCCTTGTTTGTCAAGGTTCGTGTTTCGGAATTATAGCGTTGAGGTAGGGTTATAACTACAACTAAGTAGCCTCCTTTTAGTAGTCTGTAGTCTGTATTGGCCTTCTCAGTGGCTTTGTTTGTAGTGGTCTTCTCTTGGGGAAATGAAATAAAATAAAATAAATAAAAAAAACTTTTACAATCTGAGGGTGGTATAGAATTTATATGATGCCTAACAAAATGAATCTTACTTATTTTATAAGTGATTAAAATATAGTAGATGTGTAGAAGTCATTGTAAATCATTAATGATACTTTAGAAGTCATTGTGCATCATTAATGATACTTTAGAAGTCATTGTAAATCATTAATGATACTTTAGAAGTCATTGTAAATCATTAATGATACTTTAGAAGTCATTGTGAATCATTAATGATACCTTAATTTGCATTGTGCATCATTAATGATACATTAATGATACATCATAATGATAATGATTTAAACTAAATAACTTTTTTTGATAGTTTAATCATTAATTTTTGTTGTTTACTGCTAGTTATATTGTTTAAATAAAAATAAAAATTACTTATAAAGAGCATAATAATCATTTTCCGCTTGTTTGATTAAACGATGAAATGAATTAATATCTTGAATAATCTAAAAAAAAATATGTGTGATATAAAAATCATTAAAAATTAAAAAAGACAATTCCAATGTTTGTTAAAAACAAAATAATTTGTTAAAATTAAAATAAGGGCTGAATAAAATGTTAAAAATAAAATTGAGTCTGTTCAGATGTTTTAATCAATCATAATTTTTCATTTACTAAAATAATATCATCAACAATCATAATAATAATAGTTATAACAATAGCAATAATAATAAAAATAGAAATAATAGTAATTTAAAAGCGGCTAATAATAATAATAAGCTAACAACTAATATCAATATTAATAAACAACAGTAAGCGCAGTTAATTTAAGAAACTTAATAACTTTATTGATTTTAAATACATTTTTAGTTAGAAAACAGAAGTGTAACTTTAGATTTAACAAACCCTTAAAGTATCAAAATTCAAAAAATTTTGTGATTTTATTTTCAATGGAAATTATTGATAAATCATTTAAAACTCCTGACCCAATGTTGATCATAAATAGTTTTTTTTATTAACTTTAATTTGGAAAAACCAAGTTCTTTTGTACTTAATATTATCAGTAGTGTTAACAATATACGAAGAAAATTACAAACATTAGAAAACAGTTTTTCAAGCTAAATATCATAGATCCATTTAAACACAGATTGTAGTGATTTTTCCAATCTAATTTTATGATCACAAATAAAGTTCAAGAAACAAAGTTTAAAAAACTAAAGAAACTGAATATACATCTTTTGATTCACTATATTGTATTCAATAATTTTCACTTCTATTGTATTCAATAATTTTCACTTCTATTGTATTCAATAATTTTTTAAAGAGTGACAGACAGGATTATTCGCTACAAGCCAATACCAAATTCAAATAGTGACATAAGAATATAAAAGGCTTGTAAATTTATACCAGTTATAAGCATTCAAACACCTTTTTATCTTTTACATTGGATTCATTGTCATATCCTTGTCTACAAATATCTATGACAAATGGATTATTTGATTTTAATGAACTCAAAGTTTCATCAGTAAATCCTAAACCAGTAGTATCTAAATAAATCCTATAAAACTTTCTTGAATTGTGACACTGATTACTTGGTTATCCAATTGTTTTGCTATTTTAACATAACGTATATCTAGGTCATAATCTACAATAATGAAAAAATACTTTGCCCTTTTGATCACGCTTAAAACTTTATTTTTTGTTATTTTGCTAATTATTTCCTCCTGAATAAAAGAATTTTCGAAGTTAGTGTCATGTGTCTCCAGCTATTTGTTAGTGTCATGTGTCTCCAGTTATTTGTTCCAGTTTTTACTAAACTAGAAGTTAGGTTTTTGTTTTTAAACAATTTACAAAAAAATAAATTTTTTTTGACTAATTTAAATGAATAAACAAACTAAGATCTTTTAATTATTTCTTTATTAGGACCTTTGCGACCAAAATATACACAAAGAATGATTTGTTTATATCATCTTTTAAGTTAGCAGAAACACAAAATTTTGTTCTTTCATAACTAATTCTTGAATTAATAGTGTAGACAAATTTTCTAGCTGATTTGCTGAATCATCATAGTTTTTTCATTTACATCAACTGAACTTGTTTCAAACATATTATTGTTTGAAGGTTCCATTTCCAAACTAACCATCACTATTGCATTAGTTTTGCCCATTGTTAATGTTTTTAACTCCAATTATGTTTATTTCTCCTTTATCTTGTTTTTCACTATTATTGTTTTTATTTGGGTTCTCATAATCAATTTCATTCTCTACAGATGTTTAAAGAAAATATTGAAAAGTTTTTTAAAAATTTATTTTTTTTAAAAAAAAAAATTTTTCCGAACCAGACAATTTCTTTTTTTGATTTTTTTGATTTCCAATAAAATTTCAAAAAAATTTAGAAAATTATTTTTTTGCTTTTTAATTTTAAAAAACACTACAAGTCAGCCCTGGTAATAATAATGACAACAAACATGATTAAAAAAATAAGAAATATTAAAGAATAGTTATATGAAAAGAAGAACAAACTGTTTTTTAAGATTGAAAATTATTTGATAGCTTCTAGTTCATAAGGAAGGTTGTTCCAAGTGTGTACAAATAGTGGTGTTTTGAGCTTTAAACTACTATAGGATCAAAGATGATAACAAGTAGGATCAAAGATGATAAACAACACTTACTACGAAAGTTTAACTATGAAAGTTAAAGGTTTTTGTATTGGTGGATCCAGACATATTTAATTGCACCACACGCAAATTGATATAAAAACAATGATATCAATAAAACCATAAAAATGATGATGATAAAAGCAATGATAGCAACAAAAATAACACAAATACAAAAACAATAACAACGAATAGTATTAAAAAAAACAAGAACAGATAATAACATAAAAATGACATTTTTACCTTAACTTTATAATTTTCAATTAATTGTCTCATTTTAATTGGATTATTAAATTTCATTTCTTCAAGTGACCTAATACAGTTAAATGCAAATGGTGTGGTATATGATGTGATATCTGAAAAAAAATACATATATATATACATATATATTTATATAAATTATAACAATTATTATTATTATAGTATTTTTTTACAATATAAGTTTGACTTCTATGAGGCAAGTGTCTAATGACATCCAGCAACTGCTTGACCAAATATGCAGCAACTACCAAAGCAGGTAAAGCATTCCATGTTAGCACCACTCAGTTTTTAAAGAAGTTATTTTTTGACTGGTTCTTTTAACTTCTTGTTAAATTTTACGGTTGGCACAACAGAGATGACCTGCAGGTCCATTACATGCAAGTAAACTCACTCGCCTAATATGATAATAATGATGTCAATTGACTAAATTAAATTTTTTATAAACTTAAAAAAAATGAAAATTTTTCTTGATCATTTAGCTAATAAGCTGAGACTAAGATCAAGAACAAGAAAGTCCCAAAATTTTTGAATATCCCAAGTACAGAGATTGCTTTAAGAATAGTTTGACTAATCTGTTTTGACTATTTGAGTTTTTTGTTGATTAGGATACCCAATGTACACTCGCCAGATACCTCTATATAATAATAATGTGGTTTTTATTTGTGTCCAACATTGTCAAGAGGATATCAATTTCTGTCAAGATCATCAGGGGGATACCAATTTCTGTGGAACTACCATGAAACTTTAAGACCTTGCATTTATTTATGCTAAATTCCATATCAATGTCCTCCTAATTGATTTTATTTTGCAACCAACTAGCTGTCATCAGCAAAATATTTGCAGGTTTGAAATTAGGTTTTACTAATTTCAGCATATCATTGATAAAGAGCAAAAACAGAGTTTCTATGAAAGAAGAAATTTAGAAGAAATTTTTAGAAAGAAGAAATTGCCTAAAAAAAAGACAAGCAACATATAAAATATATGATATAAAAATATCAATATACACACACACAGACACACACAAAAGATCTTTTGGTCATCTCCTCATGTCCATGAAGTATTTTTTGTAATTGCTTTTATATTTGAATGATGCAAATCAATTTTGTCACTACCTTTTTAAAATTTTAAAAACAAAATTATGTTGTTTATATCTAATTGCAACTTTTTTATTTTTATCTCAAATATTAAAAAATACCAATTTATTAACTTTTGCCAAATAATTTCTAATTTGATACATAACCTTTCATGGGGAACACTGCCAAATAATGTAGTGTAATCTAAAAATGCTGTCAACAGAGTTTTTTTTTTCTATTACTTGTGTAATAAAATCTAATGATTCCAACGATTTAGTTACACACCTTTTACTTTGAGCAAAACCGTGTTGTTGTTTGGGAAAAAGATCATTGTCAATAAGATGTCTTATTAAAACCTTTAGTATAATGTTCTTCATGACTTTACATGGTATCGATGTGATTGTGATAGACCTTTGATTGTTCAGACATTTTTTTTGAAACAGCGACATCACATTTGCTCTTGACCAATAATGTAGCAATTCTCCAGTTTCAAATGATGACTAAATATTTTTGAAAGCAGCTAAACCTTAGGAGCATTATTTTAAGATTCTTGGATCTATGTTATCAATTCCAATGAATTTATTAGTTTAATTTGCTTAGTTTAGCTTCTATTTTAAGATTGTCTAAAATAGGGTAAGGGCAGTTGATTAGAGAGTTGTACTGGCATTTTAGTAAGTTCAATATATCTTCTTTAACAAACACAGAGCTAAAAAATTCATTTAGCTGGTTTACCATTTGAGACCCATCTATAGTGATATATATATATATATATATATATATATATATATATATATATATATATATATATATATATATATATATATATATATATATATATATATATATATATATATATATATATATATATATATCACAATGGATGGGTCTCAAATGGTTTCTCAATCTTAAACAAGCTTCTCAATATAAATCTGTTTATTAGTAACTTCCTTTGGCAGCATTTTTGCAATAATATTAACTCAAATTTAGAAAATTTGTTTAGAAATGTTTTTTTTATTTCATTTGTTAAGGCTAAAGTATTTTATTTTTTTATTTTTATTTTTACAGTTCATCTGTACTTAAATTTTTGTTTAGATCTTCTTTTTGTTTATTGTCTAGATTGCCAAGGTGCAAAAAATTTTGATATAATATTTTAATTTTAGTTTAAATTGGGAAAGTTTTGTGAGTTTGATACAGTTGATTGAATACTAGTATATGATATTAGTGAATGAAAAACTTCAGTTTACCAGTTGTTTCTTTTTAATTTAACACAATTTAACACAGCAAAAAGCAGAAAAGTGCCAATAGAGTATATCAATAGCAATAACTAATCTGGTTCAAAGGGCAAAAATAAACAACTTAAAAAAACTTCACTAAGTTTTAAAAACATGGTAAATCTCTGTAATAGCATATACATCATACATTTTATTTGCAAAAATGCCTTTTTTTTCTATACAGTTTTTTAAAAAAAAGAAAATATTGGAAAAAATTTGTTGCCATAACGTAAATCTTCAGTCAATTAAGCAGCAACTTCTTTGTATGTTCTCCCAAAATCAATGGATATATGTACTGAAGTCCTCATGACTACCATAACTAGTACTACATCTACTAAAAGTAGTTAATTTTAAATTATGTTAAGTAAGAAAACTAAACTAACAAAATACCTAAATTTTTATTAACTAAAAATTATTTTATTACATGTTTATTCATTATTATAATAATTCATACTTCCTTGAACTATTGAATAACTGTTTTCTTCGGAATTTAATGAAACATGTAAAACTTGAGATTCGTTTAAAGAAAGAAGATACTTTGAATTCTGAAATCATAATTGTTATATAATATAACAAGTTTATTTTAAATTCAAGTTTTATTTCCAATATATTAAAGCATGAGAAAAAAATAAGAAAGAAAAATCTTTTCAAAAAATTTTAAAAAGTTTTTTATAAATTTCTTTAGTTTTTATTTAAAGTTAAGAAATTAAAAGAGTATAAAAATAATTTTAGTTTCAAAATTTTTTTTTATTTCTAAAAAATAATCATACATTACTGATGATAATGCCCATTAATTTCTGCACAACTGTCATTTTCTTGTTTGTGTTGACCATGCCTTCAGCAATTCTTGTACCAAATTAATCTTGCCTGTTCTTTGTAAATATTCTTTGCCGAATTCCCTATATTTTTTATGGGCGGGAATTGTGGGCAATTTGGTGGATTAAGCTTTTTTGGTACAAAATTAATCTTTCTCAATTTATACTACTCCAAAGTTTTGGTCAGTGGCACAAAGCTAAGTCAGGCCAAATAAACAAGGTCTAGTGTGCAATTGAAAGAGTGACGAAATTTGCTTTTGAAGCCACTCTTGAATATAAATTTCTAATGTCAAAGTTGATGATATCACCAAAGCTCTACTCTTTTTTCCACAACTATAAAATGCTTGCCATAAGACTAACTTTCTGCCATATTTGTCCACAAGTTTGTATTTAAATTTGTTGCTTACACTGCCACGAACAATTGAAGTATAATATTTGTCACCAGGAAGTTGACTAAAGTCACATTTTATGTAAGTCTCATTCTCCATCAAAATGCAGTCATTCAATTTTGTTAAAAGTTGGGCGTAAAGATTTTGCTCTCATGTTTTGGCAGTGGAACTTTGTCAGAACAACACAAAATGGAAAACTACTGCAATTACAAGTCTTGGAAAGACTTGTAACAAGTCTTGGAAAGACTTGTAACTGCAGTAATTCTTCACTTTCCTTACCAAAAACCTTTAGACAAGCCTGGATTTCTTTCAAAAGAACAACAAATCTTATTTACCACTGAATCATTGTTAAAAAATTTGTTTCTTTCTCATTCTTTAACTCGTTCAATGGATAAAGTCTTCTTATATAGTTTTATAACCCTTCCAACAGTAGATATAGTCTTCCTATATCATTTTATAACCTTTCTAAAAGTAAATATAGGAATTCTAGTAGCTTTTGAAACTCTTTTGTAGTTTCATGATGAATTTTCTTTATAAATGTACAAGATTTCTTACTTTTTTTAATCTCATGTTTTATACATTAAAGAAATATGATTAAAAGTTTAATTTAAAAGAAATGCTTTATCAATTTTTAAAATTTAAACATACAATAAAAAGAAAAGTAAACCTGTACATTTATCTCATCAAACAATAAAGATAAACTTGAACACTCAAGAAATCTAAAAAGTTTAATTGCAACACATAAACACATTTAAAAAAATTATAATTCAGAGAATTCTAGACCAATTCAGTCGGCACATAAAATCAATAAAAGATATTCAAATTTTGTAACAACTACATTTAAGGTTTTAAAAGACTTTAATTAAAATCATATAATATGAAAATTTTCATTTATAAGAAAGTAATGGTATTACATGTATTGTTATAAGACATGACATTGACATGAATAACTCTAATAACAACCACTATTATTAATAAACAATTTACACAATTGTTTGGTAGATCAAAGCAAGTTTAAATACCTATAATCATGAATTTTTAATAAGTAAAATTTTTATAAGACATAAACTTAAAAGTTTATGTCTTATAAAATTTTAATTATTACTTCAGATGTTTTGGCTATGTGCTTATATATATATATATGCATTTTTATATATATATACATTTATATATATATATATATATATATATATATATATATATATATATATATATATATATATATATATATATATATATATATATATATATATATATATATATATATATATATATATATATATATATACCACCATTCATAATTATATGAATGACATTAACTTTTTTTAAAAATGTTATTTTTTGTTTAACTATTTTTGTTTATTTTTGCACTACTAAACAATTTAAAAAACATAAAAGCATTTTGATTAAAATACTTTGATAAAAATCACAAAAATAATAAAAATGCTCAAGTGGGAAAAACTACAAAGATTTAAATCTTTGGTTTTAAGAGAAGATTGTTTGTCTTAAAAAAAGCATTGAATGTATGATAAAATAGTGTTTATTATCAACTGTAAACCATAGTGGGTGTAGGTTTAAGGGTTATTTTGGTGAAATTGTAAAATAGAGGAAATAATGACAAAAGTAGTTTACTTGAACACCTAAAAAAGTCATGCTATATCTTTGGATAGTTGTTATTGGGTTAATGGAAAACTATTTATTTTTTAGAAGAAAATAACTTAAAGTTTGAATCTAAAACATATTCTTAAGAACATTGTGTAAGTTATTTGACCTGACTTCGAGGATGATTAAATGTTGAGTAGAATAATTTAGCCTTCCTTATCATAAGATCTCTCTCCCATTGGGTTTTTATGAGAGGAAATTGAAGTAATGTCAAAAACTAATGCCTGATGCATAAGATGTGGAAAAAACTTTGACAAATTGGATATGTTGTTAAGTAGAATGCCAAGAACACATAAATAATAAAAGGGATTAATACACAAGTAAATCATAAACTAATTCCATGGGATTTTATATTAACTTTTTTGTTAACCTAATATATTAGGTTATAACATATATATTAAACCTAATATATATAATATATTAAACCTAATATAAAGGAATATAACATATTATACAGGAAGATTTTGTTTTCAGTTTTTCTACCAATAGTAAGTAAATTTTTAATATCTTATATCGAAAAGTACGACTATTCAACTATTTATGGTCGTTAGTGTATGTGTGCATATATATATATATATATATATATATATATATATATATATATATATATATATATATATATATATATATATATATATATATATATATATATATATATATATATATATATATATATATATATATATATATATATATATATATATATCATATATATATATATATATATATATATATATATATATATATATATATATATATATATATATATATTATATATATATATATATGTATATTATTATATATATATTATCATATATATATATATATATATATATATATATATATATATATATATATATATATATATATATATATATATATATATATATATATATATATATATATATATATATATATATATATGATATATATATATATATATATATATATATATATATATATATATATATATATATATATATATATATATATATATATATATAGGGGCTATTCTAAACTGTTTTTAATAGCGTCGACCGTATTTGGGCACCAATTTGGGTGCCGCCCAAATTAAAATTTGAGGACCTTTTTTTTTTTTATACCCTTTTTATGACAAATATCAATATTTTTGCAAAAAAAAACCTGATTTTCTGATATATATTTATATACATATATATATATATATATATATATATATATATATATATATATATATATATATATATATATATATATATATATATATGTATATATATATATATATATATATATATATATATATATATATAGATAGATATATATATACAGGCCTTGCAATAAAGCGTCGGGCGATGTGAATTTTACGTCGTCCAAGAGCGATTTTGCGTGTAGCTAGGGCTATTTGCGTCGAGCAAAAAAAGTTTTGTTCGAGTATATTTAAAGATATTTTTGAGCGGAATTTTAATGAAGTAATTTATGATTATTTTAACATTTAATAAAGTATTTTAAAAACCGCACACAGTTGATATAAGTTTGAATTACAAAAAAAAAAAAGAAATATGCTCATTATTTGCAAGTAGAAAAAATTCAGATTAAAAAAAAGTTTAAATCTTTTTAAGCTAGCATTTTAATAAAATTAATCAGCAATAGCAAAGTTGTCCATAAAATTGAACAAAAATACTTTCTTTTAATTTTAGATTTTTAACTTAAATAATTATTTTACGGGGGTTTGTTAGGTTTTAAAATTATTCCATAGATTTATAAATATTTATTAACTGTTAGACGAATTTAAAGTATTTAAGAGTAATTTCGAGGAAACATTTTAAAAATTGGTAAGCGCAAATAAAAAAAAATAAAAGGATTAATATTAAAACGTATTCTACTTGATTCAATAAAAAGTACAGTTATTAAAATTTTTGTAAAAAGTAACTCAAAAAAAATTACTTAAATAATAACAATCGCTTTTTTGTTAAAAGTTACCGAAACTCAACGAAGTGTGCTCAAGAACAGCTGCTGAAAAATAGAACGTCAATAGTATTTCGAATAATTTTTAATAATAATTTTTAAAAATAATTTTTTCGCTGAAATATTTCTTTTATACCTAAAAGATTTTTATTCTAACATTTTATTTTATTTTATTTTACCAAAAATAAAATTCCTTGTAAACATTAAAAATCTATTCAAAACGTTCGTTATAGTTTTTTAATAATACGAGTGATTGTGCTTATCAACCGCTTTATGAAAATAAATAAAAATAAATAAAAAAATATTATATAAAATCGCTAGTAAAAATATTAGCTATTGCACAGTTTTTAATCGTACAATATTAAAATTTCTAGTTTATTACTCTCTGACTTTTTAAAAAGAAACAATAATTGAAATTTTTTAAAAAGAAAAATTATTTTTATTCGTTTAGTATAGACAAAATGTGTAAATCGTCGAAAAAATAAACAAATGTTTTTACATTTTAAAAAACGAAACATTCCAAAACATTTTTAAATAATAGCATTTCTACATTAATGATTTAAAGTAGTTTTGCGGTAATTAAGTAAATTGGTGCAGTTAATGTCGATAAATATGAAAAGCAAATAAAAAGAATTTAATGACATCAAAAATCACGTCGTGCATATGCGTCGCGCAGTTTTTATTCATCACAAGGCCTGTATATATATATAAATATATATATATATATATATGTATATATATATATATATATATATATATATATTATATATATATATATATATATATATATATATATATATATATATATATATATATATATATATATATATATATATATATATATATATATATTAGGGGGGCAATAAAAACAGCTTTTTTGAGAAAAACCTGCTTCCACCCCCTAAATATGTTCTATCTAATACAAAAACAGTAGGTTTAAAATTTTTTTTAATAAGAAATATTTTAAGGGGTCCCTCAAGACCCTTGAATATTGAATTGGTCCCTAATATTTTTTAAAAAAAAAGTTTTTCAAAGATATCTCAACCTGGTACTTAAATGAAGCAAAATTATATAAAAATTTCAAAAATATTCATTTTTGAAAAAAATTGTTACTTTTGGTTTTATTACTTAAAAAATTACATTTTTTAACGAAAAATGAAAAAAAATGTAATTTTTTAAGTAATAAAACCAAATTTTTTATGTTTTTTTTTTAGATTATCTTAAAAAAACATAAAAAACCACATTTTTTATGTTTTTTTAAGATAATCTAAAATATTAATACTGTAAAAATTCAATGTTTAATGTTCAATGTTCAATGTCGTTTCGCTTTCGTTTTTAAAGCAGTTTTAATTAGTTACTAGGCTTTTCCGAACTTGAAACAGCACGTTCTCAAAATGCACGCAGTTATTAGAGGAAGATCTTTTAACCGAGTTAAAACTTTTTACCTTTTGAATTGAATTAATATTAAGATTAGTTTAGAAATATTACATAAAGAATCATATTAAGATAAATAATCATCGTTAAGATCATATTATAATAATCATCGTTAAGATCATATAAGCATTGAGAATAGTTTCGCAATTTATATATAATATTTTTTATTTAAAATAAAGTAAAAAGGATCACTCATTTTAATTTTTTAAATCGTTTACATTTTGTTTGTTTTAGTTTTTCTTTTGGCTTAATTTTTTTCTAGCAGTTTTTATTGAGCATATCTTCTATTTTTAAGAAGGAAAATAGAGGTAAGGATAAGGTCTAATTATTTTTTATGTAACAAAAAATTTATACTAATGCTATTTCAATAAAATTGGTTATTACTACCATGAAATTTCTGTGATGCTATTAACTGTTTTTGCGCTTTTTCAGAAAATTTAGAAAAATAAATTAAAATTTCGTGTTACTACTGACATGTCACATGTTATTGTATGTAAAGATTAAATTTTTGTTATGAGAATTACAGGTCTTATGAAAAAAAAAAAAAAGGTAAAGAGTATTGTTTGTATATAAATATTTATATTTTGTTTACTTTGAATCTTTTAAAATTTTCTGATGCCATTTTTAAAATTTTTGTTTGCACAATTCAAGTTATATGTTTATTGTTTGCATTGCTTTTTTGATAATTATGTGTACATTGTAAAATGTGCTTTATAGCTTTTTTATCAATGTGTTTTTATAATAATGTAACATGTTTTATTATTGTTTGTGTATGTGTTAATATAAGTTATATAATTGTTTTATAAATGTGTTTAAATATGTTTAAATATATTTATATATGTTTTCAAAGTGATGTGACTTGGTAAACATGTAAAGCAAGATTTGTCAGCCTTGCCAGCCAAGTCATTTACTTACTGTAGAGAGTTACACAGCAGTGTTTCGTGTCAAACTGTTACTGCTTTAGGTCTAGGTGTTTTCAAGCCTTTATTAATAATTACTCTGAAAATACATAATAATGTATTTAAATAACATTTTACATAATGTTGTTACTTATGTTCTATTATATATGAATGTTATGTTTCTTAAGTTATGTTATATGCATATTATATGAACTTATGGTGAATGCTATTGTTGTTGTGATGTTGTTTTTTTGTAATTTTTTGAGTTGATATACATTTAGCTTACCTTCAAGTTGTTGCCTATTGTTAAAAATGATGTATAGGTTCTTTCATTATTAGACCTCACTGCTTTTAATCATTCACTAAAAGCCTACTACTCTGTATTATATATATTCACTAAAAGCCTACTACTACTACTCTGGTGAATCACAACAGCTTTTCTCTATCAGGTACAATGATTTCCGTTTTTTTTGTATGTAATATTTTTCCTATTTTTTTACTTATTTGTTACATTTTTTATTTTAGATTTATCAAATGATGTATTTATGTGGTATAGAAACAAAATATTGTTAAGTTTTGTAGACAGTTTCTTATATTTAAAAATTATTTGTGTGTGCTATTTAGAGTAGAAAAAAAATTATATAGAAAAGATCACAATCCTCAAGTTTCTTTTTAAGATTTTTTGTTACTATTTTTAATTAAAAGTGAAGTTTAAATTGATGATATTAGGCTAGAAGATATTCGTTTAGAAAATGGAAATGTTAATGGGCAAATTAATCGTCGCAGAAATCAAAGAGATGGGCTTTGGCGATATAAAATTAATAATCGACTAAATGCTAGGTATGCTTCTCAGCAAGCAGCAAATAATTTGAAGCCAAATGAGGAGAGTGTGGTTAGGTAAGTTGAAAATAATTGTCACAGAAATAAAAGAAATAGGCTTAGGCTAGATAAAATTAATAATCAACAAAATGCTAGATATGCTGCTAGATACGAAGGAAAAAGTAATACTATTTCAGATTATAAATTTTTTTTTCCTAATTTGTAATTTTTTTTTCCTTATTATTGTATATTTGATTTGTTTTTGTTTTTAATTAAAATTTTAATTGTTTTTTTCACCAATTAAACTTAAATAAAGTTAAATTGATTCATTATCCAATTATCATAATATAATGATGCTGCATTCTATAGTTAAAAATAATTAATTTATAGTTTAATTTATTTAACTCACTGCTTTTAAAATTTCTTATAAACCAAGACAATATATTTAGCAATATAAATCAGTTTATTTATATCTCAATTTGATTTTTTATCTTTGATGTTTATAGTTTGGCTCCTTGAAGCATTTTGTATTTTGCATTTTAATTTAAATATTTTAAATCTATTGTGATGTCTTTTAAATTAAACTAAAGTTTACTAAAAGCCAACATGAAATAACGTCATTAAACAACACTGACAAGAACTGCTGTATCATGACAGCAAGTGAAGTATGACAACAGGTTATCAAAAGCAGGTAAACTGTTTTCCAGTATTTTTTTTTTTTTTCTTTTTTTTTTCTTTTATGTCTACTTATTTGTTACAATTTTTATTTTAGGTTTGTCATATAACTCATAAATGCAATATAAAAGATCAAAGTTGACTTTTATAAATTTGTTATACACATGTTTGATTGTAAATTTTATGTTATACACATGTTTGACTGTATTTTTTTTTTGTTTGAAACGTATATTTACTCAATTGCTTAGTTATAATAAACTTAGTTATTTTTAATAAATTTATTTAGTTGTGTGCATTTAACATTTTTAAGATAACAATTTTCTTTTCTAATGAAAAATTAATAACTCCTGTTTAATATGAGTTAATCTTAATAATTAATTAAAGTTCATGTTTAAGAAATACTGCAAGGATTTTGTTGATATTTTTGTCAATTTAAAGAATGATGAAGTATTATTTTGTGCCAATAACTAAAAACTTGTGTTGGATTAGAAAATGTCCATGAAAATGGTTCTGCCTTACTCTGATATGACCGATGTCAGTTGTAAATACTTAAATAATGTTAAATAATAATTGGTAAATTATTTTACCTCATACTTTTTATTTAATTTTTTCAATTTGAAGGCGTTTTTCTAAAAGGGTATTAGTTAAGGTTTTGCAACATTAAATTGTGGAAAACAGCCTCTATAAATTAACTATGTAACAGACTGACCACAACCCATATTACGGGTTGCTCTCTGCTAGTTTTAATTAATAAGTTAAAAAAATTTTAAAATGAATATATTTTTTAAAATTTTCATATAATTTCGCTTCATTTGAGTAACAAGTTGACATATTTTTTGAAAAACTTTTTTTTTGAAAATATTAGGGACCAATTTAATATTCATGGGTCTTGAGGGACCCCTTAAAACATTTTTTATTCAAAAAAATTTTAAACCTACTGTTTTTGTATTAGATAGAACATATTTAGGGGGTAGGAGCAGGTTTTTCTCAAAAAAAGCTGTTAATGAGAAAACATTTCAGTGTGACTTTTATCTAGAAATTATATTTTAAAATCTTTATGTATGTATCAAATTTTAAAACTTAATGCATATTTTAAAATCTTGTATATTATATAATTTAAAACCATTTGATTGCACTTCTAATGCTGAACTGTTTTAAAATAAATAAATTTATTAAAATTATTAAATAATTAATAAAAAAATTAGTCAAAACTTTTATTTTTAACAAGTTGTCATAGAAATAAGTTGTCATAAATTGAAAAAAATAATGACTTTAAACAGAATAAATTAATGACTTAAACAGAATAAATTAATGACTTAAACAAAATAAGTTAATGTTGATACCTTTGAATGTCTTTCTTCACACAATCAGGTATCTTTGGATCAATGGTCACACTGATGCTACAAAAGCTCTGAATAAATAAAAAAATAACATTGCTATATACTAACTAGTACTTTTCATAAAAAAAAACTTGAAAAAAATCTGAAAAATTAATCTTTAAATTTAAATTTAAGAAATTTCTTTTGTTTGTGTTTGAAACAGATTTTATTCTTTTTTTATGTTTGCAAAAAGTTTCTAAATAAAAATAAATAAAAAAACAAAAATAGTTTATATTTATATAATACTTATTTACTCCTAAAACTAAAACAATTCTCAAAAAAATTCTAAAAAATTACAAATTTTATAAATCAGAATTTTTTTTGTTAGGAATTGCCTTTTTTACTTACCTTAGATATTACTGCTCAGTCAATTTATGCAAATAAATTTTTTTTCAAAATATTTATTTGCATAAAAATATATATCAAAAAATATATAAAAATATATTTTTAAATTTACTTACTTATTTTATAAATTTATATATGGCAGATATTTTTATTAATAGGTAATCTTTTATATATGTTAGTTTAAATTTTAGACAACAAATAGTCACATTCAAATCAATAAATAGTAACTTGCATGGTTACTATTTACATAGTTACTATTGATTTGAATGTGACTATTTGTTACCATCATGATAACTAACATCAACAACAACAAACAAAACATCATAATAACTAACAACAACAACATAGACACATTTATATCAATAATTGGTCAAATTCACATTAAAAAATGGTCACACTTGCATCAACAACTGGTAATTCATGTCTAGAAGTGGTAGTCTACATAAACAAATCAGGGTCACATCAACAAATGGTCACATTAACAATAACAAATGATACCTCATGGGCGAGTTGTGTTAATAAAAAAGAATTTTTTAACCTTTAAAGTTTTTAAATTAATTTTTATTAAATGGTTGAATTAAATTTGAAGTTAAAGTTTAAAAGGACAAATCAACTCAAAATGTTGTATTCAAGTAATGATTTTTTTAAATATTCAAACTTAAATAATAAATGTATACAAAGAACAAACCTAGTTATTTTTTTCAAAAGTTTTTTTTTTTTTTTTTTTTCATTGCTTAATTTTAATCAGATATCAGTCTTTATATTAAATAGACTAGATAGTTCTTTTTACTGTGTAAAACTCAAGTGTTTGCATGATGTTAAGCAAGCAAAAAAAAGATTCAAAAGATAAATAAATCAAAACAGTAAAGTATGCAGGGACTTTTAAACAACAAAATTATAAAAACATTCTTAAAATACCTATTTAGGGTTAGTTCAAATGAATCTCAAGCATCCACGCTCATTTTCTGTCTTTTAGACTATGTATATCCATAATGGATATGTTTCAATGCATCCACTTAATGGACATATTTCAATGCATCCACTTAAAAAACTCTGTTATGTACTTTTGATCTAAAGCAAAAAAAAAAAGTTTCTTAAGTCTCCATGGTAATGAAAAGCAATACAAAAGCATAAATAATTTTTAAAACAATTATGATTATATACATATTCCAAAAACATAAATAACATGAAAATTATTTATATTTTTGGAATATACAAATAATGTTTCTGTGGTTGCATAGTAGTTGATGTAAAATTATTTCTTTTACTTAAACATAAAAAAAAATTTTTTTAACTTTAAACTAGAGATATTGTTTAGAGAACTGTTTAGAGTGTATACTTTTAGAATACAGAGTTTGATGTGTTTTAATTTTTTTATATTCATATTGTGGACACCAAGTGGGCAACCATAGTCAAGCGAGTTACTCATTTATCATTATCATTGTTATCTTTTTACTATTAAGTACAACCTGCCACATTCCCTGCTGCCTTGTAAGACTCATTTATCTAAGTATTAACTAGGAATAGTTAAGTCCAATTTAAAATTTTTTTTTGTCTTGAAGCTCGTGGTTGAAAAAAAGCTACAGATAATGTCTTAATAAAACTACACATCTTGGACAGATGGTAACTGCATCAAAGTTTTTTTAATGTTATTCACCTTTCCAAGGCCAAGAGAGCCACTACAGTCAAAGAGGCTTTATTATGGTGACAACCTTCTCTTAACTCTTTAACTTTAAAATATGAACCTTTGACAAACAAAGTTGTTGTGCGGAGAATCAAGTTGAGTGCTACCAGGGACAGACTGGAGATCGAGCTTGGAACTTCTTGCTTATGAAGCAAGAACTTTACCATTATACAACTGTCTTGTGACAGGGTTCCTAGGCAAAGATTTTAGGGGCAAGCAAAATAATTCTGTTGACCATGGCTTGCATCCATTTTTTTCTAATAGGTCAACGTAGATGTAAAATTACATTATTTTCTGCCTAAGATCATGAGTGTTGGATTTTCTTAACTCTACTAATCAGTTTGTGCCTTCTTGGTAGTAACTATGTAATTCTTTCTATTATCTCCTTATGAAGGTACAGCTCTAGAATTCGGTTAAATGCTTCTTTGGTAGTTCTCAGAAACATTTTTTGATCTACTAACTCTATGGTAGCCCTCAAAGACCAATTCCATCAAAAACTCAAAAATATCAGAGTAATAATAGTGACAATTTACGTATTAATGGTGTCTTTGTTTGGATGAGCATTCTTAAGGTCAAACTGTGAGTTTAGGACACAACAGGAGACAACTGCATAGCTTACTACTTAGGGTGCCATACTATTATTTATGATTGAGTTAAGTTCTCTGACTATAGTACTATTAAACACCATAATTACCACAAAATTTTTTAAATCTATCTTTTAAAAATACTTGTGGTCTTATATGTATCAAGTTTTTATCTAATAAACTAATCTTATTACCTCTCTAAGAGATAAAACTATTTAAGAGATAAGACTATTTAAGAGATAAAACTATTTAAGAGATAAAATTATTTAAGAGATAAAACTATTTAAGAGATAAAACTATTTAAGAGAAAACTATTCAAGAGATAAAACTATTTAAGAGATAAAACTATTTAAGAGATAAAACTATTTAAGAAATAAAACTATTTAAGAGATAAAACTATTTAAGAAATAAAACTATTTAAGAGATAAAACTATTTAAGAGATAAAACTATTTAAGAGATTAAACTATTCAAGAGATAAAACTATTTAAGAGAAAAACTATTTAAGAGATAAAACTATTTACAAAATCTCTTGAATCTAATTACAACTCTTTTGTTATCTCAAAGAAACAGGTAACCAATTGTTAGACATCTAAGTTATTCTGACTTATGTAAGTTATTTCTCACTAAAACACTTATACAGCTTGTGGCCTTGACAACATTCTTGCCACAGTCTTCAAAAAGTGAACTTTTTTCAATACACTCTAAACTATTTTAGAATTACTAAGAACTATTATTATTAAGGAAAATGACATTTGTGGTTTTAACTTTTAGAAATTCTGGAGATTAACCCTCTAACTACTGCTATTCTATTCTTCTTAAAGTCTTTAAACCTTTAACTAACAAACTTTGAATATCTTAAGTCCAGTAACTCTCAACAATCAATAAGATCTTCAATCTTTTTACTACTGATTGTTAATTGTAATAAAGAAAGGTTTTATCACTTCTTAACACTTCAAAGGCTTTTTATAAAGTCTGACATGCTGGTTTTCTTTATAAGCTTGGGTCATATGATGTACCTAAAAAAATGTTAAATTATTGATAATTTTATTCTCTCAACAGTATAAAAGTAGTTAACCTTCGTGGATATTTTGTTTCCAGTCACACAAGGATTTATCTTTATCTGCATTATTCTGATTTTCATCTTATCTATTTGGAGATGATACAATGGGGTGTTTCATTTCTGACAATTTTTCAAAAATGGTTACATTACATGCATAACGGGGTAAATAATGGGCCAATAAAAAGTCTGTCAATTTTAAAATATCATCTAGAGGTTGCCACCTTGAAAAAATGGCGCTTTTTACCCATTTCTCAACTTTAAATTTAAATTACTTAAAAAATAATTAATTTTATTTTATTTTACCTGGTGTGTCTAATAAAGGTTATCCGATAAACAATTTGCCAAATTTTCAAAAATATTGGTTAATGTCTAGAGGTCGTCAAATTATAAAGTTTTATTTTTTCAACATATTTTTTTGCTAAAAAATTGCTTAAATGCTTTAAAAAAAACTTCACCTTAAAAAATGCATAATTTATGTTTTGAGCATAATTGACCCCTAAAAGTTGTTGCGTGATTAAATAGTTTGCAAAATAAACATCTGGACGTATGTATATAAATTTCATAAACTTATAAGAAAAAATTAATTCTTTTATCAATTAGCAAAACTGAAATTTTAAAACAATCTTAAAACTAGTTGGATAAGCGAATATTTTATTGTAACGATTAACCTAAGAAAAAATAATCAAGATTAATGGTTAATTTGTTACCCTGAATCCAATAAATTATCAAGTTTTAGTCATCTACCAACAAAAAAACATGTTTTGAGTAGATACTTTCATTTACATTTTTATTCAAAAGGCGACACTTCTGCAAGAGATATTTTTAAATTTGTTCTTGGTGAGCTTAAGGAAGTTTGGGAACAAGCTGGAGTATCAATTCAATCAGATAACTCTAGTCTTTCATTGCTTATCAAATTGTTTGTGGAAAAGGTGAAAATAAAAAAAATTGATCGCGCAAGTCGAGATGTTAAAGCTGGAAAAGAAAAAATTGTCAGATTTTGTAATGAACTTGAGAAACTTTGCGATATTTCAGCAGTAAATGCATATGAACAGTTATTAGTATCATGTAGACCAAAATGGAAAGAGGATTGGGCATTTTATGAAGATCAAAAGAGTAGCAGAAAGTATCACATGACAGGTAACATCGATCTAGGTGTTTCAAAATTTTTAGAACGTCTAGAAGATAGACTAAGTATAGATTTTCGAAGAAGTTTAACCGAAGATCAAAAATCGAGTGCCTTTGAAGTCAGTGAATTAGTTAAAAGTTTTTTTTTTTTTTTTAATTTTAACTCACCTCCTCAAGGCCGAGAAGGCCACTACAAACGAGGAGGCTACTTATTTGTGGCTATTACCCTCTCT